CTAGTAAACAGTAGTAATTCTTTTTTTTTTTTGGCCCGCTAAATTGAGGCCATGCTAGCTTAGCCAGTCTTGTGTGCGCAGCATGACTTGCGTTATCTTTCGTTGGGCTTGCGCTGTATCTCGGGCCCGTATTATCAGGTTATCTTCCGGCGTTTCTGTACTGTACTGTAGACTGTAGAGTTTTTTCCGGATTGCTTACGGGACACGAGAAGTTAGAGGACATCTCTAAAGTAGGACTGAAATGTCTAGATGTAGATATAAATATAATCTTAAAAAACTTATTTCTAAAAGACACACAGAAAATAACGCTAAGACCTCCTCGTTAGCAGATCTTTCAATTAGTCTATCGAAAGACATTAAAGATCTTTCAAGATAGTTGTCAGAACTGACAACTTACGAAAGATTTTTGTCTATTCTGATGTCAATTCAGCACCAGAACTCCCTTACTACAGAAACCGGGACAGATATGAAACAAATGGAGCGAGGCCTGAATTATGTTGTAGATGCATTAAGACTTCCCAATAATGTTGGACTCGGCTAGAATCGCTTTAGCAGTTACAGTGTCAATCAAGAAGAAAAAGGTAGTGGAATTCATTTCGGCCAGAGGATAGCGCTTTAACAAAAAAACTTCCATTGTAGTCGCACCCAATGGCGAAATACTTATGTAAGTATGTACATATATAGGTCGGAAAAGCTGTTTCTTAGTTCAAAACCTCACTACTCATGATTTCAGGTAGAAATCTTTCCTGAAAAGTATATATTAAAGGATTTGCTCGCGGAGTATCTGAATCCGCTGAGAGAAAACTTCCGGGATGATTTAGATTTTAAAACCTTCCTCGAACCTTTCGTGAACGGATCTTTCGACACATAAAAAAAACAAAAAAATCCTTTAGCCTTATGTCTCTTGGAGTTGTATTTCAAAATGTGTTGATGCTTCTTTGAAAATCTGCCTTATTCAAAACGGTTGGGGTGGTCTTGAACTTTTTATAGAACGTTGGTAGATTTTGTGTGGCCATTTTGGTAGAAAAAATATATTTTATTGAAGTTTTTTTACATTTCTGGTTTCTATTTTGCCAACTTTGCCATAAAAAGTTGCTGACATTGAAAATTTCCTTTACAAAAACTATATAAAGTTTCGGGCTCAAAATATTCACTTAAATAAAAAGAAAAGATGTGTTTCATTCCCCAAACTACATATTCAAATTGATTTTTCTGCAATTAAACTGCGTGTATCTCCACTCAACAAGTACTTTAAATGAAAATTGCCAAAAAGCAAAAAAAAAATATTTTTTCCAATAAAAATATTTCAGTCGATTAATTTTCAACTGCTTGAAATAAATTCTGATAAATCCAAAATTTACTTACTAGCCCACCTGGAAAACATATTTTGTAGCCACTCAATGTTACACATGTTTATAGTTATTCAAAAATCATTTTTATTAAACAGAAGCTCAAAGTCAACAAAACGAATTATTGAATTCCATCATTGTAAACAAATATTAAAATTATTAACTCGCTATATTTTGTATAAAACACACATTTGCCAAAATGAAATGTTCGCAGCTTTATATCTACCTAAATATATTCATATAAGTACCTATATTTACGTAGGCCTATGTATAATACACATGCACTTACATTTGTTGTTCATAATAATAATAACAAACCATTCAAAAACTCGTTTTCTCTTCCCATTGGCAATTTCGAAAATCACGCGCTCTTAACTAAGTGCCGCGGCCCTAAGAAGCACATTTCGTTCTCTTAATTTCCTGCCTTCATTAACTTGCTGGCAGTGTTGCCAGGTTGATCATTTGCGATTTTATTGCAATTAAAAATATTTTTGTTCATAAAAATGTTCAAATTTCTATTTTTTACGTATATCAATCAGAAAAAAATGAAAAGAGCTTCTTGGTTCTATTTATTTTAATTTTTTATATGTTGACGATTTTTGCATACGATTGACGATTTCTCACTTCAGTGACCTGCCGACACTGCATGCATAAAGAGCAGTCCACAAACTTCTTATATGTACAATATATTTTATAATAAAAACCAACCACTATATTAAATCCAGTGTTGCTAGAACTTTTTCAGAGAAACAGCTAAATGGGCAAAAAAAGCTAAAGACGATAAATCAAAATTTTTGTTATGGCTAGGAAAAATAGCTAAATTAACAAATAAAATATTTTATTATTACAACTTCATAACAGTGTCAACGTTTAAGATAAGATATGATGCATTCTTGCAAGGAACAACTTATTTTGTATTTAAATAAGTACTTTCGTAGCCTCACAAATCTAGGCAGCTTAAGACAAAGTTTTGATTCCACCTCATTGTTCTGTAAACAGTGACGATGCGGTGTAATATTTTGCCCCTCCGCGGGAAAACCAAGACTTTAATATCCCACCAGTAAGTTTACCAAAGAGAAAGTATTCCACTCTTTACCAGGTGAGTATAACTCTAGGGTGCCTTTCCTGGCCAAATTCTCCGTAACGCGATTCCCTGCGATATTAACATGGCCTGGCACCCAAATGTGTCTGACCGGGGGAAATTCCCTTGCCAAAGTCGTGCAGTATAACAGACATTCGAATGTTTCCTAGATGCTGCATGAAATAAACACCTACCGACACTTCCGTCAAGCTTCGACCCATCCATGTAGAAATTCTCCGCTGTCGCCCTGCAACTATTGCTTCCCGTTCGCTCATTCCTTAAGGTGATGTGAGTGTCGAAAGAGCTAAAAAAACCAGACTACCCACGCAGATAACGGATAAAGTTAAAGCCTCCGAAGACCTTCTTTGTATTTTTTGACGGGGGAAAATACAAACATGTGCGGTAAGTTTGTACTTCATCATCGCAAAGCGTACTTTTTCGCACAACTAAGTAACTTGTGAAAGGATGCGTTTAGGAGGGTAAATGAAAACTCGCTGAAGTAAAATATCAGGACAGCATTTGTCTTTGTTTTTCATCCAGTACCTAATACTAAAAATCGTTAAAATGTTGAACCCTATTAAAATTTGAAGTTAATATGTAAATAATTTTAGAAAAAAGCTACATGCTAAATAGGATTTTTCCGGCTAAACCCAAGTAAAAAAAAACTAAACCTGGCCGGAAAATAAGTCAAATGGCAACACTGATTAAAGCAAGTGCAGTGGGAAAACAATGACATACATATACATACTCTGAGCGTGAGACTATCTTAGAATTTTCGATATAAACAAAACGTAAATGCTATGTAAAAACTCGTATAAATACACTCCTACAGAGGGTGTGAGCCGAGTGGGTCACACTAGCGTAAAGTGCACAGTGAGAAACTGTTATGTGGTTATGATTATTCAATGCTCTTTCAGAGAACTAACAAATATGTTTTTTTAATTACAAATTATTACGTCTCCAACTCCGGCTATAGACCATTTTGCCATTAGGGTACACGATATGTGCCCTAAGTATCGTGTCCATTGGTCCCAACAGGGTTCTTCCTGACCCTCACGGCGTATTTGCCGACGAGGGTAACCTACTGTGTCACTCGAGGCACGCTGAGACCAGTAATACTAACATGCACCACGACATTTGGGTTAAACTGTGAATCAGACGGTGAAACCTAGGCAGGAGAAACCCATCTATAATGGTGCAGCAACTCCGGAGAGACCGTGGGCCGCGAAAACCAGTTACCCCAATGCAAAAGTTTTGCGGTTTGGCATCGCACTTCCGGTCCCAATGGTCTCTGGAAAATTTACGACGAAACTGCTGCTGGCACGAGTGCATGTGGGAGCTTGTGCGCAGAAAGCAGACTTCATTTTTCTGCAGACGAAACGAAGGCAGAGGCAAACAATATATGTAGTCTTGTCAAAGCTATATTTTCCCGCGACGGCTACTCTGGTTTCCACCTGCGGTCGCTGGCGGAGCGCGTGTGAGTGAAGATAGGACTACTTAAATGATCTTTTAATGGTTCTTATCTCGTTTATGGCGGAGGCGCCATCCGATCACGACAGCCCAAATAAACTTGAATTACCACATAAAGGCTCCTAGTTAGGAGCTCTGGATGCAGCACCCTTATTTGCGGGCCAGCTCTTCATTGCCAACATGATTCTTATACTCTGATCCTGACGAAACTATCAGGCATATTTAGGTTTAGGTTTGAATATCTTCTTGAATGCACACATTACATCTATTAGGCTGCTGATGTTAGGTGTTAGGTAGGCGCATCACTTTCCGCCAGCCCAAAAACCACACTAGAAACTGACTTCTTGTGGCTGCATAGTTGTTTCTTTAAATGGGCACTGCCTTGCCCGCGGGCAAAACTCTTTTAAGCTTTCTATATATTTTATACATATAGGCGCATGCAGAGTAAAAGCTCTCTCTTTCCATCGCAGCTTTAAATATATACATTTGGACTTTCAGTACCTCAAATGAGGCAGTTTTGCTTGTTAAGGTATCCGTTTAGATCAGCGATGGACAGAGAGGGCCTTTACTATGCATGCGCCTTCTCCTCTGCTGCATAGAAAGTTAAAAAGAGCTTTTCCCGGGGGCAAGGCAGTGCCCATCAGTGGTTTAGATGCAAATATACCACATCGCTCACGATAAGGTAGTGCGAAATTCACTTTCAGTCCTACCATTTTGATAAAACGTTTGGATCACTACTACGCGTTGTTCAACTGAGTATCGCTACATGACTAAATGTGCCAAGGCCTGTAGTAACAATTGACTGAAAAAAATAATTTATAAAAACATTAAAATGTCACTAATATTTGCTGTCAAAGATTTCAATGACCAAGTAGCATCCTAAGGTCTATCGTTTTATTAATTTTAAAACTTTTAACAGCAACTCTCCCGCATTAACAGCTCCGTGTACTCACAATTGATTCACTTTGGCCTAACCGCGCGCTCTCTTATGTTTTTCACGTTTGCCGCCGCCTTGCGCTTTGCTTTATATGCCGCCACCGGTGCCGCCATCGCCACCACCGCCAGCCAGTCAGTCATCCATCTAGTGCCTACCACCAGCTAGTATGTAGTACTTTATTATGCCATGTCGATTGCCGACTTTGGAGAACAACAACAAAAACAGCAGCAGGCACGAAAAACGAAAACAATAACTCGCTATGGCGACAAAAACAGAGATGACGACGACGTCGAGGCCGAAGTCAACAACTCTGCCAACGGCTACGCCAACGTTGCGTCGTGGTGTAGGGTGTAGTACCATAGGGCCAGACTTAATGTAACATAGACGGGAACGGCAGCAGCAGGCGACAAACGTAGCGTCGAGCCAGCAGGCGTCTAGTATGTACTTGTCTGCTCTGCGTGTTTCAGTCGACGCATCATTGGCAGTATCGGCCGCAGTGGCTGTGCTGTGTTTTCACATTTCAGTCAGTGGTCGTATGTTGAGAGCGAATGTTGTGTTAACGGAGGAAATAAGAAGTCGATGTTAGTTAGCTAAATGAAAAAGGTACTACAATACGTTTAAGTTCTTGCGGTGCATACGTTCGAATAAACGGAAGTCGATGCGTGGAATTGATTTGATGTATGGGAAATGTGTTTGAATTGGGAAAAGAGAATTTAAAATTGGCAATTTTTGCAGCCATAGAAGTGTTTCTGAGTGCGAACAGAATTAAAGACCTGACTAGACAAGCTTGAGCGCTGTTTATGAGCTGGCGTACAACGCCTAAAAAAATTGGAAACAGCAGAAAAGGTTTCGGTGAATTTTCGAATAAAAAAAAGGTACTGTACCGCAAACAAAACACGTTTGACCGGATGCTATTTCCATAATCATTGAATTTTCTGTCTTTTGTTGACAGTTTGATATTTTTCTAATGATATTTTTCGTAGCCGACGCTTTGGCTCGGCGGAGAGAAATAAACGCGACGCGGCATACAAAAACGTGCAAGTGAAGAAGTAACTAATAACAAAAATAAGAGAAAGAAACAATCTAATTGAAGCGTGATGCAGAAATAAAAAGATAATAAAAACAAAAATTGGCGAAACCAGGAAATTTATATTTTTAAATGCGAAATTTCAAACGAAAATACAAATTTTTGTAGAAACAAACCAAACTTATGGCTTTAGCGGTAATGCATATATAATTTTGGGTAATGACAATTTTTCAAAGGTGAATACTTTCTTGAAGTAACTAAATATAAAGTAGTGCGGCCTTTAATAAATAATAGCCATGGCCAAATCGTAGAGAAAGCATGGCGGATTGTAAAAATAATTCAGGTGACACTAAAAAAGTGCAAAATGTCAGTTGAATGCTGGCAAAACCAGTAAAAGCGGCTATAAAGCAAAAAGGAAACAACGACTCATTTGCTCGAACTTAAGTGACACACTAAAGTTGATAAAGTAAAGGAAAAGTGCTTACTTTTCAAAACGGCCGATAAGTATAAAAGAAAATAAAGTGCAAAACAACAAAGTGCATGCTGTGTTGCAAAAGTGAACACTTACACACATGCATGGATACTTATTTACTACTAGCGTACGTGATATTTTCTTCAACTGCTGCCTGCCAGTCGCTGTCTTACCTGCCTGTGCCGATAAGGATAATAAACGGCAACCGAAACGAATGCTAGAGGCACACAGGGCAAGCCGTCTGAGAGCGAGTGTAGTAAATTTGTTCGCGCGCGCATTGCAAGCACCCAAAAGTGTCAGCGGTAGCAAAAAAAAAAAACAACGCACATACAATTGATAGTAAAAAGTGCACCAGGATGTGTTGCAGCCATTTGTGCAACAAAGTTTTAGTGAACGCCAGTAAGCATACATAGAAAGGCAACAAACAACGAAACATACATAATAAAAATAAAAACAATAATGCAAGTAGATTATTTTCCAACAACACAGCAATTTTCCAGCAGTGCCAACATTTTATACAAACGCAAATAAAACTGTGCCGCTGTAAAAAATGCTGACACAAAATCGAGCGATGCTGCAATAAAAGGAAGTGAAAAGCAATAACAAAAAAATAATTTTTTAGTTTTAACAATTTACCAACCAGCAAGGCAAGCAAAATCAGCAACGTGCAGCACAGTTAACAACCTATGAAACAGGCATTCTTCACTGCTTCTCCTTTGCTGCTACAGCCGCCCCAGCTTCGGCTTCAGCTTCTGTTGTTGATAGTTTGCGGTTGCATTTGCTCGCCGCCGCAAATCACGCAAACCGATTGAGTGAGAATAGCAGGCAGGCATTGCAGTTTTGCACTAAAAAAGCGAAAAAGGCAAAAAACGCAAAAGCTTCAAAATCACAGCAAACTAACGCAGCACACAAAAAAAACTGAGACAATCGCGCAACAAACCGTCAATGAAAAACGTTGACAACAAAAGTCCAACGACGTGCTGTAAAACGTTCGTCTTTTGTGCATAAAAACACAAAAAGCTGAAATATTCTAAACTCCAAAGTTAAATATCAACATCAACGTCCTGTGTATTTTGTTCGCGATTCACTCAACGGCCAACATGGCGGGTAATATCGTCAAATGGTGGAAACATAAAATACTTGGTGGCTATAAACAATTTTCAGGTGAGTTTGTTATTTTTGTGCAATGGCACTGAATATTTACCTAAAACTTCATATCCACATATCTGTAAATCTTTCAGTAGATTCATGAAAAAAAAAGTTAATTTGGTTGGTCAAATATGTTCTCACTTAGGCCTTGTGCATACATCAAACTTATAGGTCAGCTGAGATATGAACTGCTATAATAAGCACAACAATCAGGCAAATTTCACTTCCGAGTGAAACAAAGTCACATCCATCTAAAAGAAGTGGCCATGAAATCTGCAGTCAGACTCAGAGAGTCAGTACTATGGGAAACTCGCCAATTTAGGCACGGGATGATCATCAACGAAATACACTCACGACAAAAGACTGACTATATGGTAGTTAAACTCAGCTTCAAAAACGTACAAATGAGAGCCCCATCCAGAAGAGAGTGGATGGCTCGAGCCGGCCTGTGGTGTGGTGTGTTTCCAACCGTACTATAATATATAGTATTGTACCATTTTTCCGGTCGGCATACTATATACTGTTGGAAAAAAATATAGTACGCAATAATACTAAATTTCTTCAATTATAAATATAAATATATTTCAGTAATTTGCACGAAAAAATATGTAATAAAATGGATGACATTTAAATATACTGAAATAAAAATATTAAATGAAATATTTATTAACGTAAAAGGTCAGTGTGAGTTTATAATCAAAAAAGCTAACATACTTTTAAAAACCCTGAGAAAGAATTAACATTTTTTTAATTATTTCATTTCTACCCTCTATTAAAACCACTTAGGAATTCACAGGAAGAACTTTTTCCATTACTTAAAAATCGTTTTTACTTTTTCTTTTAATTAAAATACTATATATACTCAAAGTGTACTATATTTTTTCCATTTTTTTGTTTGAAAAGGTACTATAAATATCTTAGAAAATGTTGGCAACCCTATGTGAGACAGGTGTGTACTCCAAGGAACTTGGCGTCTCTTTGTCTCTGCGTCTGGGCTATGATACAAGCATCTTCCAAGCGGAACCCTTAGGCATCGTTAGAATAAAGAAAGCAAGAATATACTGTAACAGTCCAGCGGTTCATTTCATTTCATTTCCCAGCTATTCCAGAAGTATAAAACGGAATTATGCTCAGAACTGGGAATATTGAGAACCCCAAAACCCACCCCTTGCGTGCGCTAATGGTTTCGGGTCATTGTCGTGTTGAAACTGCCAAATCAAAGGCATATTCCATTCGGCATAAGGTAGCATAACATCTTCTAATATTCTATGGTAAAGATAACGATCCATATTTTCCCGAATCCAAAACAGCGGTCCGACACCGTACCACGAAAAACATCCCCATATCATTATATTCCCTCCACCATGCTTAAATGTTTTTGTTGTGTACCTGGGATTCATTTCTGCATTTTTTGGACGTCGGACCCACACTTTTCCATCATTGCCCACCATATTTACTTTAGATTCGTCAGACCATAAAATATTTCGCCACTTCTTTAATTTTCTGCACCGGACCAATTAAAGTGAGCTCTCGAAAAAGTTACCCGACTAAGTCTCTGTCTTTTTGTCAACATTGGGACCTTTCGTGACAATCTGCCGAATATATTCCTTACTACAAGACGACGAGCAACAGTTCTTTAAGATATTTCCACATTTATTTCCTTTTGAATGACCGCAGCCGATTTGAAAGGATCGCGTTTTGATAACCTCTATGAAATTATCGTCCGCTGGCGTTGTTTTGCATGGTCGGCCTCTCAGTTTGCATTCTTTTGGAGGAGATAGAGCAGCAAACACACATTTTTGTGATCTATTAATAGTTTTTGCGATTTCCCTTTGCGTAAAACCATTTTTTTTTGCAAATTTTGTATGTGTTTACGTTCTTCTGCAGTACAATGCTTTCCGCGACCCATTTTTCCTAAATTAACGCAAATTTCATTAAGAATTGTTTAAATACGCCAATTTATAACTTACAATACAGTTTACGCACCAAAAATCACTTCGAATTGCTTGTTTCCTTTTTTGATTCTATTTTATTGCCACAATAGTCAAAGTACACTCTTGCAAATTTTAAGCATAAACATAACAGTAAAACGAAAAAGTGTTGCCATTATAACATCTTAAACGATAAATAGTGTACTAATTCGATTACAGACGAAAGTTATCGGAAATATATAGCAAAGAGGAAAAACCGCTGATTGTTTCGGAACAACCGACTTGATTCTATTTTATTGTCAGTAACTGTAACAGCACGAATACACTAGAACAGCTTAATAGATCAAGAGAAGAAGTATTTAAAATTGTAGGAAACATTACGGGACACTGGCCCAGAAGGTAGCGAAGAAAGTGTCCAGCATCTCCTTCGGGAACTCCCAGATCTAGCGGCTACTAGGCATAAAGTGCCTGGAAGACATATACAAACAAAACTTGCAGATATATCAGCAAATTCATCAGGAAATCAAGGTTTGACCGAAAAATTTAGATATATATAGGTATTTAGCATTCTCACGAAAGTGCCTCAAAATGGCGCCCAACGCGATAATTGTATGTATTGTAGTAGTAAGCTTCCTAATAAGTGGAGTTCTGTTAAGAAAATTTCTACATTGAACTTTTACCGAATTTTTAACCAGCAGGACTTAATTCGAGAGTGTTAATGCTGCTAAGGCTAAATTATTTTCTCCGAGAATAGCTTTTAAAAAGTTAAAGTAGACTTTATGTGCTTATATGTATCGGTCAATACAAAAGCATATCCCGTGAGAGAAGTTTTTTTAAATTTCGCATAGATTTTATATGAACCCGCACAGAGCAAAAGCTCACATAGCCTGCAATAACTACATAGGTCATAAGTAGATATGTATGTTGAATCCAGTACTATAAGGCAGTACGAACTAGGAGACAGTGGGCAAGATCACTTGAAAAGCTTAACAGGCAATGAATTTAAAACTATTGACTAAGCAGATAAGCTAGTCATCTACGTGGAGGCACGTTTGCCTCAGCATTGCAAGCAGCGGGAAAATTGAATCAGAAATGGTGATTTAAAATAGTATATTAATAAAACCACTAAGACCAAACTTTGTGACCGAGAAGAAAGTCAACTCGAATTTTGAGGTTGGGTTATCGCAAGAGGGGAGGTATCTAGAGATAACCAAGAACAAAGTAGAAGTTACATCTCGTAGCTGTTACCAGAAAGGCTCTCAGAGACCTAATGGTTAAGATCCCCCAAACTGACATTTTGTCACTCAGTACAGTGATAAAACCGAGTATATGTAGGTATGCAGCACTGGTCTAGTGGCCAAAAGTCAAGCAAACTGTAGCCATTATAGGAGCCATGTACACCTATAAAACGAAAGCACTGGGAATCATCACAGTTATAAAACCTCTTCCTATATTAATTGAAAACTAAACTTGCTGAAGCACTTCGCTTAACAACATCTTAAGGAGTGGAGACCTTCAACGTTGCTTAACGTTTTTAAAGTCATTCCTTGAATATCTCGTCCTCAAGCTCACAGACAAAAGCTACCAAAATTATCCTTCAACAATTCCTACAAGGTAAATATTTTGAGCGATTCGGTTCAGCGATTCGAACCGTTTTTGCACATTGGGATTGATTCGTCAAAGCGGTTTTTCGGTCTTTGAACCGAGGCTTCGGTTTGGTTACACAGTTCGGAAATAAAAACCAAAAAAAAATAAAAATAACTCGCAAGTTTGAGTGTCAAGTGTCAAGTGCAGCAACGCGCAGGAATAAGTGTCAAGTGTCTGTCAAATGAGATGGCCATATTTAACAAAAAGAAAGAAACTATATTTCAGATGGAGGTATTTCCAAATGAAAATTGCGCCGTTGAAAGACGTCGTAGAAAGGAAAATGGTGCCATGTCCGTTAGTCAGGCAGCATTAAAAAGTAGGATTTCAAAAAATATAAAGTCTTGTAGATAACGCATAACATGTGGATTTTAATGGTAACAAAAGAGTCGATGCTTTTGAAAATCAGGTAACCCAACGAAGAGTAAACAGCTGACCACATATGTATATAAGTAAGTGGGATTCTCAAGCTTTGAAGAATGGGGGATGACAAAGCAGAAATTAAGTTTTAGCAATTTATAAAAAGGGTTTTTCATAACAGCGGTCGTCCCTCGGCAGGCAATGGCAAACCTCCGAGTGTATTTCTGCCATGAAAAACAGCTTCTCGTAAAAATACAATCTCCGTTCGGAGTCGGCGTAAAACTGTAGGGCCCTCCGCTTTGTGTGATAACAACAAGGCGCACGCCACAAGTCGGAGGAGAAGCTCGGCCAAACACTAACATATGTGTAAGGGCCAATCTATTATTATTATTAATTTATAACTCTCTCTAGAGGAATCTTGGGACGACTTCTGAATTAAATCTATAGCTAAAACTTATTTTGGTATGTGGCTACACATGCGCTTCAGATGGTTTGAATGTTTATGTAGTTTAATACTATTATGATATAGACTGAAAGTTCGTAGATCTAATATAAGTCGGACTTAGTTGAGTTAGCCGATTTTCGTAGAAAACTCATCCAATAAAGTATGAAAATTTTCACACTGAAGTGATAAGTGGTTATACAAATTTTTCGGTCAACACCTCGCGCTCTATAAATATGCTAAGCTTGTAGAAACAGGAATATGATACTTCGGTGTTAGATACAATTTGAATAATAAAATATGCAGCCGTTATTGAATGGAGTAGTTAAATATGCACATATATCGCAAGGTATAATATACTTTGACATGCTGCACATCAGCTATGCATCAATTACATCTGAAGATAATCTGATTCATTCATTATGGAATCTCTTCGCTAGTATATAATTCAAAATTAACACTTTCCTGTTGCTACAAAAATAACACAAATTTTATGCAAACCGAAAATAAGAAAGATAAATACAAAACGCATTATTTATAGCAGCAAATTTTCGAGGTCCGCGCGATCCCTATACCGCATTCGCTTCACGCAGTCTCCGTAATATATTCATCGTCTAACCGTCAGCGAAGTAATATAC